GGGTGCGCGGACCTCCGCCTCCTTCCCGAAGTAGGTCCTGGGGAGGGAGAGAATGAGGGGTGGGAACACGGAACCGGTCCAGCTCCGGTGCCTTCCTGGTCCGGCAGATGCTACAGGGAGCCTTGGGGGGGTGGGGGGGAGGGAGCTACAGCAAGCATGTCAAACTCGCGGCCCGCGGGCCACATGCGGCCCCCAACGAATATTTCTGCGGCCCAGCCAATGTAACGGTATGTAAGGAACGTTGTAATAAAATTTTCGTCACTTCATTTTTACACTATCCTGTTGTACATCATTATGAATAACGAGCTACAAGGTTAGCGAATGGCTGATGACTGTCATCGTGTTGCATTCGCGTCCCTTACTCGCCTCAGGCGCAGGCGCACCGTCTCTCCCCACGGATACCGGCAGCGAAGGTTCCAGCAGCCGATGGCCACGTCCCTGGTCTGGGACTGACCTGCCTGGTGTGGCCACAGGAAATACCTCGCTTGCGGAGAATGAGAGAAATGGGTTTATCTGCGAGACGCTTATCCATTTGTGCAGGGCCTCAGGGTCTGGTGAGTTCATGCTCAAGAAAAATATTAATTTTTATTAAAACGTTCTGTTACTTTATGTTCATGAGGACTCGTTTATCTCAGCCCTTTGCATTCAGCACGTCTCCATCGAAATAAGCCTGCGTTTCTATGAAAATGGAAGCTTTTGTTTTTCTGCGGCCACGTCCACGCAAACCTTGTTTATCAGGCCCGTGTTGGCCTCCGAGTGGAACACGCTTGCTCTATGGTACAGCCTGTGCTGGAAGCCTCGGCCGTGGGCAAGGCTGGGGGTGGCGGGTCCCCACCGGGGCTCATCCCCCCCAGGGCAGGCACTTGAGGATCCGAAGGGGCTGCCATGGGACCTTTCACACCAGGAAAGTCCTGGGTGACAAATTTCATCACGCAAGGACTTTTTTGCCTGTTGCCACACACTGATCCCAGCTTCTGTGCTGATGCCCACAGCCCCGCCCACAGCCCCGCCCACAACCACACCCGCAGCCCCGCCCACAGCCCCACCCACAGTCACATGTGGCTGTGCCCCGCCCACGGCCCCACCGACAGCCTTGTGTGGCTATGCCTCACCCACAGCCCCACCCACAGCCACATGTGGCTATGCCCCACCCACAGCCCCGCCCACAGCCCCACCCACAGCCGCGTGTGGCAGGCCTGGCACCCAGTACCTTAGGAAGAGGTAGCGGTGGACCGCCAGCCCCCGGTTGGTGTGGCAGTGATTGATGAGGACTCTGGTGTTTGCCTTTGGAGATGAAGGAAGGGCGCCATTCGCAGTATGAGCTAAGGCCTCCCAGTTCCCACAAGCAAAAGCGTGTAAATGTACTACATGTTCATTTAAAATCTATACATACTAGTATAGCCCTGGCCGGTGTGGCTCAATGGATAGAGCGTCCGCCTGCGGACTCAAGGGTCCCGGGTTCGATTCCAGCCAAGGGCACATGCCCGGGTTGCGGGCTCGATCCCCAGTGTGGGGCGTGCAGGAGGCAGCCGATCCATGAGGCTCTCTCATCGTGGATGTTTCCAACTCTCTCTCCCTCTCCCTGCTTCTCTGAAATCAATACAAATATATATATATTTTTTAAAATCACTAGTGTACCTTATTAATAAATAAATAAAAATAAAATACGTACATATATATGGGTAACCTAGAAGGCGAATCATGATAGAGTGATTAAAGACATTAAGGTAGAGACACATATGCTGAAACATGACACGGTCATTCAAAGTCATCTTGGACACCATCTGACAACCTAAAATATGGTCAGGGGTGTTATTTTTCTAAAATATATTTGTATTGATTTCAGAGAGGAAGGGAGAGGGAGACGGAGATGGAAACATCAATGATGAGAGAGAATCATCGATCGACTGCCCCCTGCACGTCCCACACTGGGGACCAAGCTCACAACCCGGGCCTGTGCCCTGAACGGGAATCAAACTGTGACCTCCTGGTTCACAGGTCGACGGTCAACCACTGAGCCACACCAGGCGGGCAGTGGTGTTATTTTGTTTGGATCCTCACCTGAGGACATGCTTAGAGAGAGGGAGAAAAAGAGAGAGGGAGAGGAAGAGAGAGAGAGAAGAATGGAGAAACAGCAGTGCAGGATGCTGCCACAGGGCAAAAATCGTGTCCTCCAAGCGTGAGGTACGAAGAAGAAGGGGGAGGAGGAGGAGGAGGAGGAAGGTGGAGGAAGAAGGAAGGTGGAGGAAGGAAGAAGAAGAGAGAACATAAGCAACAACGAGCCCCCATGTCAGACACAGCGAATCTCCCCCCGGAACAGCAGGGGCTCCCACATGCCCCATCCCCAGGGGCACCCAGCTCACCAGCACAGGGAGGCCCTCCCACTCCAGGCGCAGCTCGGGGTCGGGGTGGGCGGCCTGCCAGCAGTTCAGGAAGGAGTCCTCGTCGGTCAGGAACACCTCCTGGAGCCAGGACATCTTGGCCGACCGCAGCAGCGTCCTCAGGTCGCTGGACAAGTATAACTGGGGAGGGCAGCAGGCAGAGGGGCCGCGTCACAGGATGCGAGCGCCTGGGGAAGACGGAGCCGCCAGCGGGCTGACGGCCAGGCTGCTCAAAGGCCCTGTTCAGAATCCCTGCTCCTTTTTAAAAAAAAAATACTTTCATTGATTTCAGAGAGGAAGGGAGAGAGAGAGAGAGAGAGAGAGAGAGAGAAACATCCATGATGAGAGAGAATCACGTACTGGCTGCCTCCTGCACGCCCCACACTGGGAATCGAACCCACAACCCGGGCCTGTGCCCTGACCGGGAATCTGCCGCCCGTGACCTCTTGGTTCCTGGGACGATGCTTAACCACTGAGCCACACCAGCCGGGCTGGAATCCCTGCTCTCAAGGACTGACTGTACGAGAACACTCATTTTTCCTCCGCCTCGAGTTCTGCAGCACCTCGAACTGTTTGCTGTTCTTTCTTAGAACACGAGACTCAACCTCCCTCTGTGCCCATGCCTGTCCCCAACCCCCTCCTCTTTGGTAGGGCACAGGGCCTGTCCTGGTATTTATTTATTAGACACTGGAGCCCCGGTGCACGGATTCAAGGGGTGCCTCGCACCGGTGCATGATCGGGGCTGGAGAGGGACCAAGGGAGGTCTCCAGGGCATGTCTGGCCCGTCTCACCCAATCCCGATCTGCCCCTGTGATGCCCACAGCCACACTCTCCTGTGAGTCAGATAACACTTGGGGATGCCCTGGCCACTTTAGCTCAGTGGATAGACCATCAGCCTGCCAGCTGAAGGGTCCCGGGTTTGATTCCCATCAAGGCCACATGCCCGGGTTGCGGGCTCGGTCCAATGTGCAGGAGGCAGCCGATCAATGAATCCCTCTCATCGTGGATGTTTCAATCTCTTTCTCAGACCCTAGCAGCAAGCTAACCTACCAGTCGGCCCTTTCTCAGACCTCAGCAGCAAGCTAACCTACCAGTCAGAGGATCTGCTCCCCTGGTGGTCAGTGCGCGTCATAGCGACTGGTCGAGCGGTCGAACGGTCGGAGGGGCACTTAGTGTATTAGGCTTTTAGGATGATGTTCCATGAGACGGGCTGTGAAGTGGAGGGCTCTTAAAACCTTCCTTGCATTGTCATTCATCCCTCTGGAGGCCTCCGCCTGCTGGAGTTGTTGCTCACACGTGGAATTTATTTGGTCGGCCATCTGGCGGCCTGTGGCTGCCAGGAACCACGCCGTCCAGCCAACGAGTCCGAAATGCCGGTGCCTTTGTGAGCGCCTTACGGACCCACCTTCACCCTGAATCTGGGGGTCGTTTCTGCCTGTTTAGATGGATTTCGTAGGCAGAGCTGGGCCCCGGGGACTTTGGGGAAGGCACAAAGGGGTTTCTGTGCCCAAGTGGCCAGTTTTCTTTAAAATATACATATATATTATTGATTTCAGAGAGGAAGGGAGAGGAAGAGAGAGAGAGAAACATCCATGACGAGAGGGATTCATTGGTTGGCTGCCTCCTGCACATTGGACCGAGCCCGCAACCCAGGGCATGTTTAATGTCAGATCTAGCATTGGGGACATTAAATAATTCTTAGGTAACTCAATCATTCAATGTACAGGTAAAGGCGGTCTACATTTTTACTTTTGCCAGCTGCGTGGGAAGTAAGATTTTTGTCCTGGCTGGTGTGGCTCAGTGGATAGAGCGTCGGCCTGCGGACTGAAGGGTCCCAGGTTCGATTCAGTCAAGGGCATGTACCTGGGTTGCGGGCACATCCCCAGTAGGGGGTGTGCAGGAGGCAGCTGATCAATGTTTCTCTCCCAGGGTCTCAGGTTCGATTCCGGTCAAGGGCATGTACCTTGTTTGTGGGTACATCCCCAGTAGCGGGTGTGCAGCAGGCAGCTGATCGATGTTTCTCTCTCATCGATGTTTCTGACTCTCTATACCCCTCCCTTCCTCTCTGTAAAACATCAGTAAAATATATATATTTTTTAAAAAGCTGCGGAGACGCACCCCAGGCCCGCAGACCTCCCTGTCCCCCTGGGAGGGAACCAGGAGCCCACCCAGGGCCCAGAGTGGCCGGCCCCACGTCCACACGCCACAGGGCGACTCACCATCTGGTCCTCGCACCCCAGGGTGATCCCCAGGCGGAAGCTCTGCCCGAATCGCAGGACCTGGCCGATGTCCTCTCTGTCCGCCCTGTCGGGGAAGAGAAACCATCACTGACCTGTTCCCGCGGGGGAGCCATCCCGAGGTCCTCATTGTGAGCCTCCGATCGTGCCTACAAGCTTCCTGGTCCTGTCTATTCACGTTCCCCACCCTGAGCTATGTCACTAGGCACAATCTGCCCACCCAGCGGGCACCCTGCC